GAACATGACACTGCTTATCTGCCCAGTGCTCATGTAGTGAAGGTCATTCTGCAGCTGGGAGTAATGTGAAAGAAAGGGCTAGCAGAATGCTCATCCTCCTCCTTTCCTCTCTGTAGGGAACTTCATGGAGACATAAAGCAGTCATCTAAGATACCAGTTGCTTGCAGTAGGGCAGACAAAGAGAAAAGAGTCTTCCTGAATCAGTGCTATCTAAAAAAAAAAAAAAAAAAAAAAAAAAAGTTATTATCAAAGTCTGTCAGAGATAACATCACCTGATTCCCAATTGCAAATCACTGCACAAGAATGGCATATTTCAAAATCGGCGATTAAATCAAAGTCAGATTGTTGCCATATCCTGTATTTTGTTAATTCAAGACTTTGCAGTATGACTGCCCTTCAGCCCATCACCCTGAGAGTCATCTCTGCTCTGGATATAAAAAGTAGAGCATACTAAACCTTAACACCAGCAATCATCTGTACATTTGATGCTGCATGAGCTATCACGCAGCACAGATGTATTTAGACCATGAAGGACTGACTCCTGATACAATTCTTTTAGTAGCAGTAGAATAGGGGGATAAGTGTGTAAGGAAAAAGGGATAGGCTGCTGAATTGTCCAGCATGTCCCCTCCTCAGAGATACCCTCAGATTATGGGTTCCTGACATACATAATGGATAGAAATGCATATAACACAAGATTAAATTAATTGTTATGAATGTAGATATTTGTAAAACCACTAAGGTCTACTCTACGCTGTCTCCCTACAATCCTAAACATCCACTGGTCAGATTATGTGACTGATACGTCTGTTCCAGAACAAGCAGCAGTCACAAGCATTGAGGCCATGTTACTGAGAACACAGCTGCGCTGGGCAGGACACATCTCAAGGATGAAGGACCACTGCCTCCCTAAGATCTTGCTTTATGGTGAACTTGCCGCTGGCTGCCGCAAGAGAGGAGCCCCGAAAAGGAGATACAAGGACTCCCTGAAACAGCATCTCAGCCTTGGCCATATTGATCTTCATCACTGGTCTGCTCTGGCCTCCAATCGGGAGGTCTGGAGACACACCATCTATAACGCTGCTGTTTCCTTTGAGAACGCACACAGGATCACTCTCGAGGAGAAAAGACAACGCAGAAAGAATTGTGTCTGGCTGATACCATCCAAGGATGGTGTGCCTTTTGCAACCAGATTTGTCTATCTCACACTGGCCTCTTTAGCCAGTAGCGTGCTCGTAAGCCAATGTGGGTAGAGTCCTTCCCAAATCTTCATTAGCAAAGCCTAGCCATGATGACGATGAGTGGCTATAGCCAAGAAACTAATTTTTGGGGTGATAGACAGATGAAATAGGCCCAACGATCTACTTCCCAAGTTGCCAGGATGTTGGGGTGGAGTAGGGGGTGGGAAAAGGCCGTTTTATCTCCATATCACTCCTTTCTTGTTTTAATCCTTTTATCAGTTTCTAGGAATGTCTCCCCAGGTGCTGGGTTTTTCCAGAAAACAATCAGGAGCCTTTTCCTTCCTTTTGTGCAGCCTTATCTATCACCTTACACCCATCATGCTATTGAATGTCTCTACCTTAATTTGATTTATATTTATGGCTCTATATTAGGTATTTACTGCAATGCACGACACAAGAGCACTGCTTTTAGGTGGCCAGAAGTAAATGTTGAGAATCTTTGTTTTGTTGTACTTAGATCTGTTCACAAAAATTCAGACTTCTATTACCATGTGTATGTAGACTTTCTGTAATTCTGTTGAAGCTCCGCAGCTTGGCATGCACTTATTAAACCTTCTAGGAAGGAAGCCCAGTATCTACATGAGCAAGTAGATAAAAAAACAAAATGTGAAGAAAGACTGATGAATATTGCAGAAAAGCACTGACATGGGTTGCTCATCCTCCTTTCAATATCTGGAAGCATATCAAATTTGAGGCTATGACAATTAACTGTTGGAAGATCTGAAGGAAAGCTGTCAGAGTGCCCTTATGCACACACAGCATATTCAAAATGTCAGTATAAGGTATGGAAATTCTGTAGCTTGTTTATAGTTATTCTAAACTGTAGAATTTTGTTTAAGGACTTGTAAAGGTACATGCATTCTTCTTAACATGAGAATTAAATTTGTTTGCAAAGTTGTCAAAAGGTATTTTCATACGACTTTGTATATAACCTCATGTAGAGAGATACCCCAAACCCTCTCTGTTTATGCCATTGTAATCATAATGTTGATGTGTTGACAGTATTTGCATGTAACAACATGCAAAATAACAGTTTAGGAAGAAAACTCAGTCATGCCATCCTATATTATGAGCAGTTTCCTATGCTGCTCTGCCATAGATATTTGTTTCATTTTGTCTATATTTCATTATATAATCTGCATTATCTTACAGAAAATCCATCCAGGCCAGTCCAGATTTCCTTTTTTTAACTTGCAAGAACTATTTATTTTATCAGCCTTAACTGTTGTATAGAGCTGTCATTGATCTGTTTCTTTAAGAGGTATAAAAACAATACTTAATACAATTTTTTTTAAGAAAAAACACTTCGTGTTTTCTCAGGTATTCCAGGATCGATTCCCCATGAATGCTAAGGTGTCCCTACACCGACTGGAAAAATTCAAGAATCCTGCAAAGACAGTGGGAATTAGGTCCAGATATGTTTTTCCAGCTATACCAGTACAGAATCATATGTTGCCACTTCGGTGTATTTGGGGGTTTCTGTGGTGAAGAGATCAACCAGTGCAGCTGAAACAGAGCAGGTCCTTCCATGCATTTGCTACACAATTGAATAAGCCTACTGAAAAGAGCCAAGCTGCTCACAGGTAACATAACTTGATTAGCACAATATCTCCCAAAGTGTTTTCAAACTATAAAAATCACATCCTATGCCATCCAGTGCTAGGTCGTCTCAACTTCCCCTACCTATGCGTTTGAATATAACAGTTTCACTGTTTTGATGAGGGACTGTACTTATACCTTGCCTCAGGTGTAAAGAGAAAAGCAACACCACACAGTGTAAGCACAATGCACATGAGTTGTTCCTTCTTTAGCTTAAGTTTTCAGCCTGGGCCATTTTCAAGGTCCTGTTTTTGTTGCTGTTAATGTGGCCAACTTTTTCTAAAGGAGTATTATTGAAAGCGATGAGTCCTAATATATTTTATAGTCAAGAGTTTGCTTATCAGATCCAGTTTTCTGTTTTCAGGCAATCTCCTCTGGAATGCCTTAGAGTATCTTTGAGCAGAGATAGCAATGGGCATCAGATAGAAAAATCTAATGTCATCTTATTAACCAATATTTTTTGCACTGATTTGTATAATCCACCTTATGGCAATGTTAGTGTAAAAAAGAAACTGAGCATTCTCATTATATTTTGCCTTCCTGAAGATGATTTAATAAGCCTACCCTTTCTATTAATTCACAGGAGAATAAATGACATCCATTGAATTGATACTTAACCCACATCAGTCTAAATTTGGAGACTGAGAAGGATCCTTGTCTTGCTACAGAAATGATCTCATTAAGTAAGCAAAGGCCTGGCTAAAGGGATAAACTCCACACAAATATTCACTGGAAACTCCAGCTTCCTGGCTACCCTGGTGGCTTAGATGAGAAGACAGACCACACCCTTATGTCAAAACCCAGCTTTAACATTCGTGCTTCACTCCAACAAAAGCACAAAAGCTATGCCTTAAGGCTTGATTATACCTGTGCGCGAAGACCCAGCACAAGGTTCAAGAACCACTTACATCTTCAAAGTGACTTGAGAAGAGCACTGGCCTAGTGGAGTCTTTCTCTGCAGAGGGGACTGTGGTAAGCACTGAACAGCGCTTACCAAATCATGGTCTGAAAGTTACTTTGATGATTTCTCTTTTCTTTTCCCTCTACCTGTGGAATTCACAGCGTTTTCCTATGAAGTCTATCTCCCTCCAGCAAACTATTTTGGGATCACCAAAAATTGTGTTGTTATAATAGGATCCACACTCTATTGAACAATTATGTGTAAAAATCACATTTCTTTATCATAGCAGCAGGACATAGTGAGGAACTAACAGAATACTTCTTGGCAGAACAGTACTTTCACATAACTCCCCAGTAATAGATTTTGGCTGGTGTTCCTAGACTTGAAGAACACTTGTCATTTGACAGTGCAAATATATCATCACATATATTTGTCTATTCTCCACCATGCCAAAATTAATTCACTCTTCCCAAACCATCTCCTCCAAATATTAGAATTTCATTTTCTCTGAGCTGTCTTGCTTCTCCTTTCTGTTCAGTCTTCTACACCCAAACTAACCTTTACAGACTATTCATCTGTGCACAATCTCCTTTCCTTTTCTTATCTCTCTAACTTACATATTATTCTCTCCACAAGCTTCAGTCTCAACACCAATCTCTTCTTCCATCAGCACATCAGCTTGTTTCACTTCATCTTTCTGCTAATCCATCATGACAGCGTTTGGTGTCCAGACCAAGGATGCCACCCACCATTTACACCTATCACTCTCATCTTTCCTTTGCCCTTCTGTAACATACTCTGAGGGTGTGTGTGCAGCATAAAGCAAAAACAAAACAACAAGAACAAAACCATCACACCCACAAACAGAAATGGCATCATTTCTAGGGGGAATGTATTAGAAAGTATAGAACAGGGTATGGGGAACATTCAGACTGTTTCTGAAACTTTCCTATGAGAACCCATGAGGGATCTCTAGTTAAACCTGTAGAGAGACACAACAGCAGGTTTCAGACAATGGATATAAGAAAAACTGTTTGCAATAGTTGTAGGTGTGCTAGACACCATAAAAACAGGAAAGTAATAATCCCACTAAACCTGTAGTATCAAATTTCTTTTGGTTGGTGTTCCATTACTTAAAAAACCAATAAATAACACTCAAGACCAGTGTACAAGTCGAACACCAGCCCATATATACACAAAGTGTAATGAATTGAACACTAAGATTTATTTGAACTTCAAAGAAGTTTACTGACTCAGTCACTGGTTAGGATTTTCTCTTCTGTGTGAAGCATGTACTTCTGTAAGTCTCTCCAGAATGCAGATGTAGACATTTCTGAGTTTCTGATGTCTGATTTATAAAGTCAGCAAATGGTCCATTCAATCCCCTGATGTGGATTCCAATGCCTTATCAGTTTCCACAGGGTGAACCTGCAAGGTCAAGTGTGAAAGTGTTACTCTACTGAAGCACTTAGTGCCCTTAAAGCCAACTAACTGCTACCCTGCACACGGTCTTCTAGAACAGTCTTACATTGGCCGTAACAGATCTCATTTAGATTTTGATTCTTCTTGTGTCAGAAATTACAAAATGCTCTACACAAACACAGATTTGGAAGTGAGTACTGTGCAATGGATTGCAAACTGAAAAAAGAGATGCAAACCCAAGATAATTACCTATGTGGGTGCATTTGTCCCATGAGAACCTACAGATACAGATGTAGCAGAGGCACGTGAGACCCAGAACCTGGTCTAACATTTGCCTCATAGGCTGAACAAGAAACATGCACAGTTGGTGCTAGGTCAAAAGTTGGACTTTATCTCAGAGGTCTTTTCCAACCTAGTTGAATCTGTGGTTCTGTTATACAAGTATTCATCACAACTATGAATTCAGTGACAGGGAATGAATAGAAAATTATTAAAGAAAAGACAGAAACTAAACCAGAAAACACAGTAAGATCTTGTTTGAAAAAAATGCATATTGAGAAACAGATGTTGAAAGAGAAGTAACTCAAAATCTTTCAGAGTAACTCCTTGAGAGTGACCATGGTGGGTTAAGAATGGGTGTGCTGCCAGAGAGAATGGAAAAAAGATATTATGCAATTTGGGGAAGTATTGCCTCTTACCACAACATTTCCATGGGTTAAAGAGCACAATTCTTCTTGACACCAGTCGGCGGCCGTGTCTTCCAGCTGCCAGGAGAGAACATCAACAGGTTTGGTCTAGTATGATTGAGGGTGAAGGTATCCTGAGCATTCCCTGTTTAAACTAACTGTGCCACTTATGTGTTACCAAAAAAAAATTATGACACTTCGAAAAGACTCTAGGACAAATGCATTGGTACTTCATTTGCTGTGCAAGCTGTTAGGTCATTGAGCGTAGGAAAAATCCTTGTTTTAAATTTAAGCAAATGGCAAAAAATACCTGCAGGACCAGGAAAAATGCAGCAAGAAGTTTTTTATTGCAGCGCTGGGTGCAATCCCAAGTCACATGGACCTAGAGGCACACCAACCGTTTGAAAAACTCACCTTTCGTATTCTCCTGGTTACATAAGTTGTTACATATTCAGTGATTGCCAGATTTTTTACCTTAAAAGGTAATTTCTTGGACTCGGGAGGGGGTGTTACCCTCCTTCTTGATTGATTTGTGACATACCCCCCCGTATGTTGTACAGGGGGATCTCTCCACACACAGTGAGTAACCATGTGGCAGAGGGTACATTTTTATTTTTATACTTTTCTCTATTCCCGGCCGTGAAGGTTCCCTGGCATCAAGCCGGGACAGGACCCTCCACCTTACAGCTTTCACAATATGCCTAAAAAAACCCTTGGACTTAAATGAAAAAAGAAAACCCCATCCCCTTTTGTTTTCCACTAAATTCATTTGCTCATAATAAAACTAGATTATTTATTTCTCATATCAAGTAAAGCTAGGTCCAACAGAGATGGATAGGATTTTAAATTCCCATGCATGCTATGTCCTACTTGCTGTCTTTGTGCAGCTCCAAGCTGAGAGAGCACCACTACTCATCAACATCCCTTGCAGCAACAGGGAGCACAGACACCCCACTCCTGGTCCCAGACTGCAGGACCTCAGTGCCAAAGGTGGGACCACAATAGATGAGCTTAGATTTGGTTGCCTCAATGATAGAGGTGTTCAAAGGGGAAATGAAATTTAGAGAGCAGCCAAGTACGTTCAGAGCCTCGCTGACCTCCAGCCTGAGGAGGAGATGAAAAACCTCTATATTTTGACTGCTTTAAGCATGAGCCAGGGAAAAAAGAACAATAAAAGACATAAGAGGAAACAATCCTGTATAATGATGGGTAATTTAACTGAAAGTGGTATCCAGTTTTAATTCATTAGGTAGGATGTAATTCCAGACCTTTCATTCCTCCGCAGCAGGAGACACTCCTTTAGAACAAAATGAAAAAGTAGGATTTTTTTTCTTTCGGAAAAGCCCACCTACATTCCTGTAAGCCTTCCTTGAGTACCTCAAAAGCCCTCAGGATTACTCTGACTGGAGGAACGAAAGGAACATTCAAAAGTTTACAATAATTCTTTTCCTCAAGAGTAGAAGAAAACATCAGATGTGGCTGCAGCTTTCAATGCATTATTAATACCAATCACTTGGCAGCATTTGGTTCTGTGAGATAAATTTGATCTGTGAACACAAAAGAAAGAGAAGGAAGACAGCTGGTCAGAGTAGTCACAGGAATACCTGCTGAACCCAATAAAAAAAATATTTTTGCACAGGGACCCATGAAATGTGGACATAAAACAAAGCATGAAAAGTAGTAATACTTGAAGAAAATGTATTCAGTTACCAATCTCAAAGAACAATTGTAATGCAAATTAAAGTAGCAGTTAAGCAACAATGTAGATTAATTACAGATATTAAACCATGTAAACAAACCTTTTATCAAATAAAGCAGGCACTAAAGGGGATCCTGAGGCACTTACTGTGCCACTGGGTTTTCTGCAGGGGTTTTGAATCTGTGAATGCCTAAATGCTTCCTAGGAAAGCTGGATACCTTGCACAGCAACACTGATCCTTCTGCCAGCAGACTGCCTTTACTTAGCTACCTTATGTGGATTATGTTGGTTTAATTTCTAGTCTTACAGGTCTGGGACACAGGAAGAAAAAGAAAGCCCCCCTCCAAAAAAAAAAGAAAACAAAAACAAAAACAAAAACAAAAAACAAAAAACAAAAAAAAAACCAAAACCAACACTAACAAACAAACAAACAAACAAACCAAAAAACATAAAACCCCAAACCAAACCAGACAAACACAAAAAACCAAGCAAAAACCACAAAAATAACCAAAAAGCAACCAAACAAACAAAAAACCAAACACCAAAAAAAAAAAAAAAAAAAAGAAAAGAAAAGAAAAGAAAAGAAAAGAAAAGAAAAACAACCAAACAAAAAAGATGAGAAACCTCGTTTTGTGGCTCAAGTCACCAAAATAGGGAATAATTACTCACACAAAAAGGGTGCACTGCATGCTTGCGATCAGCACGCTGCCATAGCTCCATTAGTCTGCTGGGGACTGGACTCAAGTGAAGAGGCAATCTATGACATGATAGGTAACAGCAGCTCAGCAAAACAGTAAAATGATTCAGATGAGAATGTCACAAAAAGCTCTTGCATTTGAAATGTGTGCTTTCATGTCAAAAAAGTCTCTGTGCCAGCTCAGAACTGACTTACTCCCAGAATCCTGTCAAATGATTTGAAGTGGGAAAAGGAACTAAAGGTGAAAACTGAGATGCAGCTCAGTTTTGGGTGCCCGACAAAGGCATCCAAATTGAACAGGTGACACAGGGATTCTTGTTTATCTTTTAAAAATGCCTCACTACCAAAAACAATAATCAAAAAACTCAACCTGACTTCTTGGTGGCATTTAGTTAGGATTTGCCACACCAGGACTGCAGGAATACATCAGTGCAGAGAATAAATTAAATTCATTAACCTTTCACCCTGTATAAGGACTCCCATTCACACCTGTGTTGTTGTTCATCAATCACAGTAAATTATCCTTCCGTGGAGTAGGAGAAAGCTGCTGCAATCTAGTTATGTCACACCTGGATGGGAGCTTCCATGGCAGTATAACATGGTTTAATTCAACACTTCTTCACAGACTCTGCTGATTTGCCTTAGTTTCCTTGAAAAGAAATTACTTTAGGGAGGAAATTGGCCAGTGCAGTAGTCTGCTTTACCAGATAAAACAGGCGATGCCTGGCTCTGTGGAGGGAAGAAAGATGGTGGCTAGGAAAAGAAGTGGATCACAGAGTGTCGAAGCAGGTGTACAGCTCATGGAGAGGCCCCATGAAAAGATATGAATGCCTCAGGCTCTGCTATCTCATGGCAGAACACACTGTCTGTCCCCAGTCAGGCTGAGGGAGCAGCACTGCTGGTGCAGTGATAGGAGGTTCTGTTTGGCTCATTAGGTCAGGGTGAACTGCATGAGGGAAACAGGAGTATTTGCAAAGACTGAGCAGAACTGCGGCATTTTGCAGGCGCTTTTCAAAGACCAGTTCCATGACTTCACAGGAAAGTAGGGAGGAAGGAAATTACCCTAAAAGCTCAGTTAACTAGGACTTCATCTGTATTTTCCTTTCCCTTGCAGAAGGAAGTCTACCTTATACTGAGCATCTATTTAAGTAGCTGCAATTAAACTTATATCGTTCAGTTAATATACTTGGTTCAAGTATACAACAGTTCTTCAGGAGAAGTCATTCATTTTATGCAGCTGACATCTTTCTTTGCTTTCCCTCTACCCCCACCCCAGATTTCTGGAAGAAGGTATCACTCTGATATACCATCCTACTCACACAGAACTTCTGTAAAGCAACATTTACATAATCACCAAAATGACCTATTCGTCCCTGATAGACCTAAGTCTTTCTTTAATCAAGTCTATAGTCCCTCCATCATATCATCCTTGTTAAGCAGGCCAGACTTATCTTGAAATGTCAAGAGCCACTGTGACTAATTAATTATTCTACCTTATCAGTCTTTTGAGAAGTACTTCAAAAATCACTGAAGAGTCCACTTCAAAACTATATTGTCAACCAAAAAAGAAAAAAGTTAGTACACAAAATAATTGAAATAAGAAAAATTCTTATTCCGTGCAGAAAGTTTACTCAGACCAAGAAATGGTATTCAGTACAATACCACCAGCTTCATAAAGTTTGAAGGGTTTTGCTCCCAAAGAACCTTGCTTTGTTTTTTGGTGGTTTGCCATGTCCTACCTGGCTAAGCATAAATGCACACTTACATAAAATCTCTGAGCAGAGAACAACCCTGTCAAGAACAACTGGTAGAGTTTCTTTCTTTCTAGAAGGAGTCATCCTTTTCTACATCTTACAAATCTTTCTCAGTCCCACATTGTTTTTTTTCCACTTTCCTTTTTCTGGTTTAGAAAACAACCACAATGCCAATGTACTTTGATCATCACTCCAAAGACATCTCTACAATCTCAGTGTTATTAAGAACAATCAGACTCTGGGTGGGATAAAAATAACCAATGCACTTGTACACTTCTTTCTTTTTAAGCTAATATAATCCACTAACACATGCAAAAGATGCATTCATTCAACCATACTAGAGAAAGACAACCCATTTCTTGAGCTATAATGGTGAAAATGCCCATTTATGTCTCTGTCTCAAGAATTGAGCAAATACAAAAGACTGTCACAACTTAGGGTTTATGCTTAATATTTATCAAAGATTTCTAACCAAAGAGTATTTTACAAAGGAATAAGTTGAAAAAAACAAACTGTCCTTTAAATGATTTCCACAGGAGTCCAGCCAGACCATTTTGTAGGTTGACACATATGTCCTACTGAGCACACTTGGAGCCGTTCAAGATGCTTAAAATATATGCTTTTAATAGACATTAAAGTATCTGCGTTAATTTTTCTATTTCTTAATTATCCTTACAACAGGTTCTTCTGTTGACCAGGAGGAGCAATGCTGTTAGTTATTATGGAGAGTTAAAACCAACTCATCTTCTCTACAAAATAAAGTAAGTGGAACTACAGGAAGAATGTAAAAAACATAACAGTTTGTTTGTCATATGTACACATCTGCCATTCCAATTCTTTTCCACAATGATTCTTACGGAACATGCATTAGCTTCCATACAGAGAGATTCCATATAGTTTTAGTGGAACTTAACTGGAAAAATACTACCTAAAGTATATATTTGCACCTGACTATAGCATCAAATGGAAAATATTCTGTCTGATTTCCTCCTCTTCTCCTCCCATCACTTTTAAGGTGAAAATTTGCCCTTGTTATTTTTTCCACATCTGCAAAATGCAAAAGCCTGTTTTTAGAACCCCAGGAGATTTTCCTGTTGGAAAATCACATTACACACTTAGGACGTTTCTGCTACCTGCTGTAGGAAGCATGTGCATGCAGAATAAAACAATGCTCCTTTTCCAAGCATACTGGAACTGCACAAATCAATACACTGTGTTAAAATGATCAGATTTGTCTTTTATCTTCAGTTCATTGTTAGTACCTAGAGGAAGATGAATGAATCCTGTGCTCTCAAAAAGAATAGACAGCATTTCTTCAAAATACACTGATTGGTTTGTTAAATGTATTTATATTTGATTTATTTAATCAAAAGGCATTCCCCTTATTATGTTGATTTGCTGCATGAGGTTATGAATTCTTTTTTGTGCAAACTTTTAGCAACCCAATTTTGTTACAGAAAAAGCTTAACTTCTATGATTAAGCCTGTGTGTACACCCTCCTCTTTGTCCAACTGCTAAGGCTGGCTAATGAAGCTGTTACTGCTTAGAAATGAGGTAAGCCACCTCTGGCTCTGCACTCCCAAGCCCTCTATGGGGAAAGGAGAAGCGGTACATGACAGAGCTGGCTGTTTTCATTCCTAGGGCTTTGATTAAGGACAGAAAATGGTTCCTCTCTGAGCAGAGGAAATGGCTGTCCAGTAAACACATGCTGGAAAACAGCATGCTGTGATAGAGACTGATAGCAATGAACACAATACACATTGCAACAGTAGCAGTATAACAACAGTTTGGATAGACACTGGACTCCCTCTGGCTCTCCACAAACTGAGCAAGGAGAATAGCTATCAGGGGACTGAAAGAAGAATCGGGAGTGACAAGCACTTATGGAAGAATATGCTTTACAGGAGTTGTGAGAGAGTCCACTCACCCCTGACAGCATGCAAATTTATCTTACAGGCTGCATTACTGGATTTACTAGTGGTTTGTCACAGTCTGTGTCAGTAGGAAGAGAGATGCTCATCCCCTGGAGGAACCGCAACAGTAGTGAGTCAGGCCTTAATAGCCTTAGTTCCCCTCCTTTCCTCAGGGGAGCACCAATTTGCGGCTGGCTGTGACTATCTTCTCAGCTCCTGCAGATGACCAACAGCTTGCCTGGGAACATAACCCAGATTTTGAAATTGTAACTGTCATGTAGGCAGATACTGTCATTGTGCACAAAGACCAAAAGACCATTCCCAGGGGGAGCGCAACCAGGATTGCTTCAGGTTTTTCAATAATGGAATTCAACAGGACCTATGGCTACTGCCAGCGAACACTAAAATTCTGCTCATGACCAGTGATGTCCCTCAGGGCATCAGCATGCCTCCAAGGCAGATCACAAGAGGAGCCAGCATGACT